TGGCACGTGACTGGGCTGGTCGCGACAACGTGACCACCCACTTACTCGCGCGCGCCGTCGGCCTCCGTGACCAAGGGCGACCAATTCATCTGAGCTGCGATCTCTGAGGCCACGTGCCCTCCTCGGACCTCTTGCCAGCCCTCTTCGCCCAACTGCGAACTCGGAGAGGGGGGCGCTGCCGGCCTGGCGGCCTGGGCCCCCTCCCGGAGGGTCGCGCGGAGCGCCACCGCGCGCTCTTGACCCTCTTTTCCGCGGCCCTCCGCCTGGCAACCTTGCTCTCGTTCCTGAAGGTCGCGCGGAGCGCCGCCGCATGCTCTCGGCCCTCCTCCGCGGCCTTCCGCCTCGGCACCTACTTGCTTTACTCCTGCGCATCGGCGCGGCTGGCTCCAGGGCGGGTGGACTTCTGCTCGGCCGCGACGCGGCGTCGAGGGCGCAGGCCCACGGGCCAGCTGCAGCGCCCAACCGCCACCCAGAAATGGCCGAGCGTTCGTGCCCAAATGGCCACAGACATCGGGCAAGGAAGAGGATGCCCATTTGTGCTGGCGCACGTGGGTGAGCTACTACAGCCACCAGCAGGGCTAACAGGGCCACCAGAATATGTTCGAATACCACAATCTGATCTACGAGGACTACTGGCGCAGCTGCGAGAGCCGCCAGAAGAGCGCCAAGGCCCACCAGCTGAGCTTCGAGAGCCACAAGCGCAGCTACGAGGACCACCAGCTCAGCCACGAGGGCCACCAGCTGTGCTACGATGGCAGCGAGCAGGGCTCCGAGGACCGCCAGGTGGGCCACCGGGGCCACCAGCTCAGCTACGAGGGCCATGAGCAGAGCTCCGAAGGCCACCCGCAGGCCACAAGGTCCACCTGCAAATCTACGAGGGCCATTACCGGAGCTTAGAGGGCGACGAGCAGAGCTACTGCAGCCATCAGTTGGGCGACCAGGGCCACCAGCGGACCTTCTAGGAACACTGCAACGGCCACATGCAGACCCTCGAGATCCACCAGCCCAGCTACGAGAGCTACTTGCTGAGACCACAACCTGAGCTACGCTGGCCACAAGAAGAGCTCCTAGAGCCTCCCGCACAGCTGCCAGATCGACAAGCTAAACTACATGGGCCAGGAGCATGACTTCGAGAACCACCAGCTCAGCTACGAGGGCCACCTGCCCAGCTACGAGGGCCACAGCCTGAACTTCGCGGAGGCGAGCAGAGCAACGAGAGCCTCTTGCAGGGCCACCACGGCAACGAGCTGAACAGAACTGGCTACCAGCTGAGCTACAAAATGCGCAGAGCTACGATATCCACCAGAAGTGTTACAAGGGCCACCTGTTCTTCCACGAGAGCCGGCAGCAAAGCTTCCAGGCCCATCTGCAGAGCTGCGACCCCCACGCGCTGAGCTGCGGAAGCCACAAGGCTACGGGGACCACCAGATGATTCACCAGGGCCAGCCGCTGCAGTACGAGCACCACAAGACGAACACCAAGGCCAACGAAAGACCTGGACGACCAAAGAACCGATCGCTTTCGGCGACACTGCGGAGGGCAGTTGGACATGAGCGTCCAGAAGTTGATTCGCTGGACCGTTCAGTGGACAATGTCCCCCGCTTCTTCATTATTAGGAAAGCACAAGCAGCGCTAACAGTGCCACAAGTTGTGCTACGAGATCAACAAGCAGGGCTACGAGGACCACCGGCTGAACTCCCCAACCAGGTTGCGCCATTTAGAAAACGGCGGGACAGGCCTGCCTGAAGCCGCAGAGGCCCGCGTACAATTACAGCGTGACAGACAACGGCATGCTAGTGCATCGTTACATCAGGCGCCACGTTTTTTCGTAGCGCTGCATGCATCATCGCTGCCATCATGTACAACACCGCATGTTACATACAGTGTTACTACGTCTACAGCGCTTCAGACAAGGAACTCCGTGCACAACGATACTCGCAAGGTACGCTGTCTACGGTCTGTACAGATTTCCCTATTGAAGGGCCCCGCAACTCTACCAACCTCCTCCCTTTCCTCGAAGGCCCCAGGTGGAGTATGATCGCGGGTGGCCCCCTCTCTCCTCCTCCCCTTTTCCGGAAACGTCTCCGTGTAGCCGTCGCGCCCCAGGGCGCCGGGGCGCGTGGCGGGCGCGGGGGCGATTGTGTGACGCGTCAACGGTGGCGAGAGAGAGGATGAGGAGGAGGACGAACAAACTCCGAGCCTTCTCCCCTCTGCTGGCGCACGCAGTACAGCTTTGCAAAGGAGTTCCGTGGCTTGCGCTGCCGCTGCCCTTCTGCCGTCTTGCAATTACGCAGCGGACCTTGGGACATTCCTCCACCAGCTCATCGAGCAAGTTCAGCGGCATCCAGTCCAGCTCGGCAGTCCGCCCACGAGGCCGTGGAGCGGCTGCCGCGGCGGCGGTGGCGCCAGTCCAACGCCCGCGCCCGGCGCAACCCGGGCCATCGGCGCAACGGGCGAGCCGGGGCCGGCCCCGCGGCGGGCGCCGCGGGGGCGGGGGGCGCCGCGGGGGCGGGCGTCACGGTCCTCTACAGCGTCTCCAGGCACGCACGCGCCTCGGTGGCAGCGGAGGGCAATGACGGCGTCATTGACGCTGAGGCGGAGACGGACACGCGGCGCATGTCGCGCAGTGTGCGCCTTGGCCGCTTCTCCCATCGACTCAGAATACAGGCGGCCGCCACGGCCGAGCAGCGCTGCGGCACCTTCGCTGATTGGCCCAGGACCAGGCGTAGCGTCTCGGGGACAGCCCGGCAGCGGCCGCGGCCGCGAGCGCCTCTGACGCAGCGCGGGGTCGCCGAGCTGACCGCGGCGCTCCACCGCGCCACCGTGCGGCAATTCCGCACTGCCGTGCGCGACGACGACGCCGCGGAGGCCGCTGCGGGCCGAGGAGGAGGGGATGGGAATGGGCATGGGGCACAGTCCGATCACCGCGCCCTGCCGCCGCGGCGGCGGCAACACAACAATCCCCTAGAGAGCGGGAGCGGCGGCGAGGATCCCGAGGGTCCCACCAGACAGGTGCGCCCCAGCAGCGGCTTTGCCAGGAGGGGAGGGCCGCAGCCAAGGCCCCACCACCCCCGCGGGGACGGAGACCAAAGGGCAAACGAACGCAGCCACTAAGGCCGCATCCAGGAACCACGCGGCCCCGAAACGGAGCAGCCCCCAGGCCGCCCCCAGAGGACACCAGTTTCCCGAGCCGAGCCGACGGAGCTACGCGCATAGCTACACATTCTCGGCCTCAGAGCCCTTGCCCATCACCTTCGACTACGCCTACTCGCCAGCGCTGTCCAGGAACGCCTCCAACGCAGCAATCCTCACATCGAGGTCTTCGCTGACGAGGGCGCCGCTACGACGAAGTGCCCCAAAGAGCAGATCCTTCTCATGCGCAGCCAGTCCCCGCAGCACCTGCCAGGTGAGGTCCTCACCGTCGGCACCTTCACAGCCTCGAACTCCTGGGTCCAAACCTTCGGTTCGCGGACGGGCGTTTCGACGTGGCCTCACGGCCTCGTGCTTCTCCTTCTTTTACTTCCGCCTCCGTTGCTTCATGGTCTCCTCGGGCATGTGGGCGATATTGTCGACGCAACCCAGCGCCAGCATCTCCACGCAAGCATCGGCCTCCTGTCTCTCGACCTTCGGCACCGTCGGCAATCCCACAGTCTGGGGCTCCTGGGTCGTGGCATTCGGCTCGCGGGCGGCCCCGACGCATTCCATCGCCAGTGTCTCCGCATCCCGCCCTCCAAGTTCATTGTCATGTTTCGCATGCCCTTACAAAGATTTTGCTCCTGCGGGAAGTGCCACGTTGAAAAAGCAACTGTCTGAGAAACTGCAATCGCGTCAAAACACAATTCTTGGGATTACATCTACGCGAATCAGTTTTATCGTTGCGTCCTGACGATCGTAGATCGTGACAGAACACCACCCCTGGAACTGCAACACCGCGCCTCAACGTGATCGCTTCGCCTTAACAACCCTAAATCGGGCCAGGACCCCCTTCCTGAGATGTCAATCATACAAATGATTGGAACTGATGTAAGCTTTAAAACGAATGTGCGGTGCTAAGGCGAGGGCCACATGTTGAAAAGGAACCGCCGTCCATCAGCGAAGCTCATTGCAAAGTTCTAAGACGAGTGCGAGCGGCGCAAGCGCGAGAGCCACAGTTTGAAAGGGAAGCGCCCTCCGTCCGCGAAGCTCTTGCAAACTTTTGAGACGAAAGCGCGCGGCGCTCAATCTAGAGCCACAGTTTGAAAACGGCCCGCCCTCCATCAGTGAGCTTCTTGCAAGGCTCAACTTTTCAGCTTCAGGAAGCTACAATATCATAAATGGCGAGGAAGTCTCAGGCGAAACGTCTCGGGGTGAAGTGAGACAGGAAGGAGTCACTCATAAGGACAACGGATGGTGGAGGAGGAGGAGGAGGTGGAGGAGGAGAAGGAGGCGGAGGAGGGAGTGCAGGAGGAAGAGAAAGAGGAGGTGTGAGAGCAGGAGGAGGAGGAGGAGGAGGAGGGGGAGGAGGAGGAGGAGGAGGAGGAGGAGGGAGGACGAGGAAGAGGTGGGGAATGAGGAAGGATGGAGGAGGAGGAGGAGGAGGATGCTCATGATCATTATCCCTCCTCTCTGCGCCCCTCCGCCCACCGCCCCCTACTTCTAATCCTCATTTCGTTGTCATCATCATTGTTGTTTATCCTTTCTCCCGTCGCCTCCTTCTCTCCTTCCCGTCTGGCCCAATTTCGTCGTCATTGGTTGTCGCATTGTCGCCACCATCATCATCAGCATCGTCATCGGCATCGTCATTGTCATCATTGTCAATAGTCTACATGTGCATTTGCATCATTATCATCGTCCCCATCGTTGACCTTCCCCCTCTTCTCCCCCCTGCTCCTTTCCCTCCCTTCATCCCACCCCCCAACACCCTTCCTTCCCAAGCGGACCCTCCCCTCCTCTCTCCCCCCTTCCTGTCCGCCTGCCTCTCCAGTCCCGCCCTTCAGAAACCTCGCACTCATTTGCAATAGGTGCTACGTCGAGATGCAGCAGTACCAGTTGGGGCTTATGGAGACACGTGCCGTCCACCCGCCTGCTCCCATGCTGTCCGGTATGGCAACGTTTCCATCGGGGCAGGCAATGGCGAGTCTGTTATATGGAGCGTAGGCTTCCGCCTCTGGCACACAACCCACCTGGAGAAGCCGTCTATAGGTGCTCGCATGGGGGGGATGCTCTGGGTGGTCATCACGCCCTTACCCTGATACCCGTTCGGAGAGGTCGTTGTCGTTGTCGTGGCGCAGTCGCCCTTTCTATGGCGCTGTGTTGCAAGGCTCACGAGAATGAGGGGGGGGGGCTGCTACCCGGAGGCCGAGAGGTGCGCAGGAGGTCGGCGGACCCCGAGTGGAGCCCACGTCCTGGTCCACTGCCTTCGGGGCGAGCTCGCTGCGGGGGTCCGCTTCCTGGCCAGGGCCCAGACCAGATTGCAGTGGCTTGTGTGCGGTCGTGCTGTGGCGGCAGCACCGTCGCTGCATCCCTGCTGCCCTGAACCAAGCCGCGCCGAGCCTCGCCGCAGAGTTGTTGGTCCGCCATGGTTTGTGTGGCTGGCCAGGTCCGTCCCAGCAAGGTAGAAAGGGCATCCTTGATGTATGGCAAGCCGCTGTCGAGGGCGAGTAGGAGGAGGCAGATGGCAAGGCGGAGAGCGGATGAGGATCAGGAAGAGGAAGGAGAGATAGAGAGAGAGAGAGAATGAGAGAATGAGAGAATGAGAAAGAGAGGGGGGGGCTACTGTCGTCCTCCACCGTGCCCGCCACCCCTCCCCTACCTCTGCCGTTTTTTTGTTTTCTCGCTCTCGTTTTCTCTCTCCCTCTCTCTCTCTCTCTCTCTCTCTCTTTTTTCTCTCTCTCTCTCTCTCTCTTTCTCTCTCTCTCTCTCTCTCTCTCTCTCTCTCTATATATCTATCTTTTTCTCTTTTTCTTTCTCTCTCTCTCTCTCTCTCTCTCTCTCTCTCTCTCTCTATGTATATATATATATGTCTATACATATATATATATATATGTGTGTGTGTGTCAATCTCTCTCTCTCTCTCTCTCTCTCTGAGTATAGAATATAAATAAATACCGCCCCACCCGTCCCCGGGTCCCACACCTCCCCGCCACATCTCGGGGACGCTTCCGGTACCGCTCCCCCAGTCTTTCCGGGGAGCCTCCACAGCGCCCCAGGAGGGCCCAAGACGCCTCCCAGGAGCCCCCAGAATGCGAAAGGATGGTCCAAGACGCTCCCAAGCAGCCCAAGTCAGCCTTCCGACGGCTCTCGAGGCTCCCAGGTGGCCTCCAAGAGACCCCAAGAGAGGTCCGAGAGGCGTCCCGGGACGGCCCGAAGAGGCCCAAACCGTCGATGGTCATTGGTTTTTGTCCATGTTTTCGGCTTCTCGCGTTTTCGAGTTTCCAGTGGTCCAAAAGCGCCGAAGAGGCTCCCAAGACCGCCGCAAGACCACCCAAGAGACCCTCAGGACGGCCCCAATACGGGCCAAGAAGGGTCCAAGACTGCCGAAGAGGCGCCCAGGACAGCCCCAGACCACCCCAGAACAGGCCCAAGATGAACCCAAGAGCGGGAGCAGGAGGCTTCCAGAGACCTCCGAGAGGCCTCCGGGAACCCCCAGAGGCCCCCAACACACCCCCGATCCCTGAGAGGCCCCAAAAAGACCCCCACGAGGCTCCAAGAACAGCCCAAGAGAGCTGCGAGAGCCGTCCCGAGAGAGCCCAAAGAGGGTAAAATCGCTGATTTCCAATGGTTGTCTCATGTTTTTCGCCTTCTCACGTTTTCCCGCTTCCAATCCTCGAAGATCGAAGATTTTGAAGAACCGGTACCGCGCCTCCCGGCTTCCCGGGGGGGCCCCAAGACGCACAAGGACAGCCCAAGACGACCCCAAGGAGCCTCCAGAACGTAAAGAACGGCCCAACACGCTCCCGCGCAGCCCGCCCGAGACACCCTTCCAACGGCTCTCCAGGCCTGCAGGAGGCCTCCAGAGCCCCCAGGGGGTCCGGAAGATCCCACACCCCTGAGGGGCCCGGCTAACAAAACCCGCGAGGCACAAACAGAAAACAGCGCCGAACAGCGCCGAGGAGCTGGAAAAAGATGGGAATCCCACAATTCCTTCTTTTTTCCAAGTTTTGCCCCCGATCCTAGACCCCGAGCAGAGCCCGGACCAAGCCGGATTCAGGGCAGGCTTCTCCACGGAAGACCATTTATTCACAACGGCCGTCATTCAAGAAAAAATTGATGAATTCAACATTCCTCTGTGGTACGCCACGACTGATTTCCAGAAAGCGTTTGATTCGGTGGAACATCAAGCATTTTGGAACGCCCTGTCCAAGCAAGGTGTGCCTTTGCCATATATCTGTTTACTGCAGAAGTTGTATCGCGGGCAGACCGCGCAGGTACGGCCGACGCGGACAGCCGGAAGTTTGATATTTGTAGAGGGACCAAACAAAGAGACCCGTTCAGCTCATTATGGTTCAGTTGTTTACTGGAAGACATCATGCGCCAGGCGAAGACGAGGTGGAAGAGAACGATATGGCATCAAATTGGATTTCACGAGTGTGTCAACCTTGACATGTTTACGGTTCGCAGATGACGTATTGTTGGCAGGAAGAACTCTACACCAAATCCAGAGCATGCTGTCCGACATCCACGAGATTGCCGGCGCCGTTGGCTTGTGTCTTCACCCGGACAATATTGAAAGATTGACACACGTCACAAAAAAAGCGAGGACGAGGTGCCCATAGCCGAGTCACGGTCAATGAAATGGAAATTGTAATATAACCTGCAGAAGGGTCGGTCAAGTACTTGGGGAAATTGTTGAGCTCAACGGCGGCGGCCGGACTTGAAATTGATCACAGAATAGACAAGCCTGGAAGTCACTCGTGGCGCACAAGTCTGAGCTCACGAGCAAAAGATACGGCCTTCATCCCCGCCTGCGTTTATTCGACAGCACGGTGACACCGACTATGTTATACGGGGCCTCAAGTTGGACTTGAACATTGGTTTTGCAGCACCGGATACAAAGGACACAGAGGAAGATGCTGCAAATGGTGTTGGGCTCTGGAAGGCGCGTAATCGAGGCGACCGACACCAAGGACACCTCCGACATCAACGAGTCAACTTCCGAGGGCAATCACGACCCGCCGAGGGAATCCGGGGTTGAGTGGGCGAAGCGCACCACGAGGACAGCAGAACAAGTTCTGGGTAAGAGCAACGGTTGGTGCTCGTCTTGGAGGCGCCGGGTGTGGAAACTTGCATACAGAGTGGCAGCGGCAGACAGCAGGAGATGGACATGGAAAGCAGCGCAGGTGGATACCCGAAAACGACACTCGTGCCAGACGAGCACCCCATGGACCGAAGAAGCGGTGGACAGGCGATATCATCAGCTATCTCAAGAGCAACGGCACAGAAGCAGATAACAGCAACATATACACAGTGATCTAGTCGTTTACAGCAAACCAAATGCAAGCAATGGAGAGCAGCTACTGTTCAGGCTCATGAGAGAATACTTCGTGAACTCCGATGTTTGAGGGCTGGGGCCCATTCCGCCCATCCCCCCGGGGACGCGTTGCGGCGCGATGGAAACGATTCGTTCGTTCGTTCGTACAAGAGACAACAAGTCAGACCCCCCTTCACCTCCCCAAAGAAGAGCCCAGGGAGCCTTTGAGGGCCCCCTGCGTTTCCGCATTTCCCGTTCTATGCGATTCCGAGGCTTGCACAGGGCCTCCAAGGAAGTCCCTGGACGCAAGAAGCGACCAAAATGATATTACATGAGTTAGCCGATCAAGCCGAGCTAGAACTTGAGCGCGCGCGAAGCGCGCGCGATGGTTCTGGTGCATATATATATATATGTACATACATACATACATACATACATACATACATACATACATATACACATACACATACACATACACATACACATACACATACACATACACATACACATACAGGCATACATACATGCATACATACATGCATACATACCTACCTGCTTACATGCATACATAAATAGATGCATGCATGTCTACACACATCTACATGCACATACACACATGCGTGCATGCATACAGATACACACGGATATGCATACATGCATATATATATATATATATATGTGTGTGTGCGCGCGCGTGTTACATGCATGCATGCATACACACACATACACACAGGCACGCACATACGTACATACATACACGCATGCATGTATACTACATCCATGCATACATACATTCAGGCGTACACACATACATCATGGGTACAGACATGCATATATAAAACATACATGCATACATGCATGCATACATGCATGCATACATGAGGCATACATACATACATGTACACACACATGTCACGTGCGTGCCCAGAGTAGTGCATAAAACAATGCGGTGTCACCAGCAGAATTGGCACAGCTCGCGATGAGACGAAGCTGCAAAATACAGCCTGCAGGTGCACATGGGTAAGACGAACATGCTCGCGAACAGCTCGGTGCAATTGCTTGCGCACGTGCGAGCTGCCGGGTAGAAGTGGTGCCTTCCACGGGCGCGGAGCGATGTTTGGGAAGGCAGATCTGTGCTGGCAACCCCGAAGCGGAGTTTTCGAACAGAGTCAATGCCGCCTGGAGGTGATTCGCAAAATCCGAGGATTTGTTTATGTTCCCTGCCGTATCTTCTGCAATCGCGACTCAATGTGTTCAATGCTTCGGTTACCCCAACATCCGGTTACGCTTGTGAATGTTGCACGATGACTACCAGCCTCAGCAGCAGACCCAGGACAGCTTGGTCAAAAATGGCAAGAATGATCTTTCGAGTCACGCGCGGTGAAGTTGAGCCTTGGGTGGACTACATCAAAAGAGCAACAGAGCAGGTGAAAACCAAATGCGCCTTGTGGGACTACGGGAACTGCGAGGGCACACATGTGGCCTGGCAGGCCAAATTCGCAGACGCAGCGTCGCACGACGATCCGCAGAAGTGGAGTCGCAGATTTCTCTTATGGAGACCGTGGTTCAGATGCCTACCCAGGCGGCGTGTGGGCCAGCCTCATCTTCGTTGGAGGGATAGTGTTGCAGCTCCTGCAGAGTAGCTGTTATTGCAGAATCTGTCGCGCAGCTTTTTTAGCAGCGCGCGCAGCATTGTTAGCCAGAGCAGCGCATGCAGCTTCACCATTTGAGCAGCGCCTGCCCTTCAGAGGACCGTTTCTACGGGAGCCGGCGCCCGCGCTGAACTGAACTGAGTTGCGATTAAACGACATGTTCAGAAGCATCCCAGCAGGCATGAAATTAACAGGTCAGAGCAAAGATGGATAACCATCCGTGGAACCAAAAACGAGACACGGCTGTTCCGACCAGGCATCCGACAAGCAATTGATGTTCATTGTATTGTTGTGTGCGCTACCATAGAATGTTGAAGATATGATGAAGAGCTACGCCGGAAACCAGCGAAAAAAATGGTTCCCCAGGAACTGGGCGAAACAGAATTGAAATCAGTTGTGCCCATGGCGGGTGTATGTATAATATTGAAATCAGGTTTGTACGTGTGTTATTACATTGGCGTCACGATCTGTGTGAGGGGTGCGTCCGATTTCTGGAGTTGTGAAGATGTCCTTCGCGAAGCGGCCATAATCAAACGCGGCCTGGACGGGGACTCCAGCAATCGCCTCTGAGCTAGACTCTACCGCCGCATGACAAGATGTCAATATGCGCGTGTGCGTGCGTGTGTATATTTTTCCTCCATATCGGTCTATGTTTGTCTACTCCTGTCCATACATACATATGTAGATATATGCATAATTCCCTCTATATCCCTCTCTCCCTCTTTTGTTCCTCTCCCTCTCTCCCTGTCCTCTCTTTTCCTGGCGGCGGGGCGTTCGCGGAGGACTTTTCCATGTGTGTGCGCCTGGAGCCAGAGACCGCAAGGCGCGCGCCTGCGCGGGAGGAGCCGTCAAGGAAGGGGGGGAAGGAGGAGGAGGAGGAGGAGGAGGAGGAGGAGGAGGAGGAGGAGGGAGGAGGAATAAAATTCAACAAGCTCAGCTTCATGTCTGGCCAACGTCAAAGAAAGAGGAGGAGGAGGAGGCGGGAAGAGGCATGAGGGGCGAGGAGGCGCGAGGAGGGCGAGAAGGACGACGTTGACGTCGTGGGGGGCGCCTGGGGGGCGAGCGCGGAGGACGAGGAGGAGGAGGAGGATGCCTTGGGGTCCCAAAAATCGTGCGGTGACAGACCGGGCGGTGGCCGCGAAGTCCGAAGGGATCTCACCGCACGGTCCGCCACCGCAAGGTTTTGGGACCCCAGAGGCACGGGTCGCCAGAGAGGCGCCCTCGGAGAACGGGCCCGGTGCCAAAACCACGCGGTGACCCCGAATCCCAACTGAGTCACCACACGGTGTGGTCACCACACCGGTTGGGGGTGCCCTTGAGAAGAAGAGGGAGGTGGAGCAGGAGGAAGAGGAGGAGGGCCAGTGCGAACCCAAGATTCATCAACGATGTCAATGAAGCCTCCTTCCAAGTTTCCTCTTCATCGGTCCATACAAGGACTTTTTTTCCCTGAGGGAAGTGCCCCGTTGGAAGACGGCCGTTTGAAAATCCTGACCCGCGTCAAGTGACCATTCTTCTGGCTTCAACGCCGAAGATCGACGTCACTGTTGCGCCGTGACGACCCTAAATCGTACCTGAACACCGTTCCTGGGAGCTCAACACCGCGAACCAACGTAAGCGTTGCGTCCTGACAGTCCTTTAACGTCAGCCGTAAGATCGGAATCCTTAAAGCTGTTGTAAACTCTTGAAACTTGCGTGTGCGGCGCCGAGGCGAGCGCCACATGTTGAAAACGGCACTCCTCCCTCCATCCGTGAAGCTCTTGCAAATTGTTGAGATGAATGCGCCCAGCGTTAAGGCGAGAGCCAAATGTTAAAAACGGCCCGCCCTCCATCCGCGAAGCTCTTGCAAGCTTTTAGCACGACTGCGCGCGGCGCTAAGGCGAGAGCCATATGTTGAGAAGGACCCGCCCTCCATCCGTGAAGCTCACGCAAGTTTTAGCTTCAGGATCATAAGTGGTAGGGGAAGTTTTCAGCGAGACGCCCGGCCCGCCCTACCAACACGCCTCGGGGTGCGACAGGGAGGAGCTTGAAACAAGTAAAAAGAACGAAGGAGGAGGAGGAGGACGAGGAGCAAGAGGAGGAGGGCCATTGGGGGGGGCCCGATCGGCGGTCCCCCCGCTGGGGGACCGCCGCGTGGCGGGCTGACCCCAGCCCGCGGGCTGACAGCGGCGGGGAGCCCTCGTCGGGGCCGCTGCGAGGAGCCCCAGCGATCCTGTCGCTGCATGTTTGTCCAGACAGGGCGGTTTCGCACAGCCTCGGGCCCCAGGGACCCTCACAGATCGAGCCAGCTCGGAAAATGGCGCAGAGAGGTGGGGTCTAGGGCTCATGTCGCGATTTCTCGAGATGTTGCGATTTTTCTGCAACGTGAGATCTCAGGGACGGGGCCGGCGCGACCAGCAGGCACTCCCTGGCGGCTGCGCCGACCGTGCTGGCCCTTCCCAGCCACCCCTCAGGGGCCTGGAGGGCTCCCGAGGTCGCGCGGGGTTCCGTCTGGTCGGCCCGACCGAGCGGAGACGTTCCCAGAGATGTTCGCGTCTTGAGAAATTGAAGACGGGAGGTTTCTGACAGGTTTCTGCTTTCGGGGGCCCTCGCTGGGCCCTGGGGCCGTCAACGAAAACGGCCCAGGATGAAAAGCCGGCCTTGGGGAAGGGGTCGGGGCTTCCCGGGACCCCGTGTCGCATGCTTGGGCTGGTCCCTGAGGGGGCCAGGCGCTTAGCAGAGGGCGGGAGGAGGGCGGGGAGGAGGGGGAGGGAGAAAGGGAAGAGGAGGAGGAGGAGGAGACGGAGGAGGAGGGAGAAGAGGCAGGAAGGCGAAGAGGGATGAGGGGCGAGGAGAAGCGAGGAGGAGGACGAGGGGAAGAGAAAGGAGGGAGAAGGAGGCGGAGGAGGAGAAAGGAAAAGGAGGGAGGGCGGGCGAGAAGGCGCGAGGGAGAAGGGGGAGGGGGAAGAGACAGAGACCGCGAGGCGCGCGCCGGGGGGGGGATCGTGTTGGCTGTTTGCTGGCGTTTCTGGAGGTTCTCGTCGCCATGGCTGGACGAGGCTCGAGAAGCCGAGGGGGCGGACCCTGCGGTAGGTCCAGTGGCTGGGCCTGCGCGGAGTTCGGGCGGGAGCTGGGGGAGTTCGGGTGGCTTCTGAGAAGAATGCTCGGAGGCCCCTCGCCCCGTCTCTTTGCACGCGCCACAACCCCCCTTCGCCCCGTGCTTTTGCACGCTTGGAATGCTGCCCTCTTGGTCTCCTTTATCTGCGCATTTCCCCTTGCCAAGGGCTGCCGGCTAGAACGAAAGAGCCCGTGTAGTCATCTACTGGCCCAGACGAGATGCTTGCCCATGCTTGCCCAGATAAGTGGGAGGGCAGACCTCCGACGTCGTGATTCTGTCAACCCGTGGGCCGCCAGAGCTCTGGACAAGCTGTTCACGCTGGGCCCTTTCTCGATGGTCCCCAGGGATCCGGAAGCATAGGCCCCTGGCCGCAGGCAGCCCCCGACAACAACCAAAACGACGACGACAACCACGACGACGACAACCACGACGACGACGACGACAACGACGACAGGCGACAACCATAAACGTATTCGCGGATCTTTCGCTTGCGGTGGATATTGGATGCATGTTTGGGCCATGTTGGGGCCCCCTCAGGGCAGTTTCCTTTGGGAATCTCTTGGGAGCCATCGAGGCCCTTTGGGGTCCATCTTGGAGGCCATCGATCAAACAAGGAGGTGGACTTGATTCCAGTCCCCCCGTCGGACTCGCCTCTAGGGGCCGTCTTTGGGCCCTCCTGGAGCCCTCTGGGAACTCGGGAACTCTCTCTTGGGTGATATTGAAGCCGTCTTGAGGCGTCAGAAACCGATTGAAAGTAAAAAGGCGAGAAGGCAAATATCATTCGTATGTCTCCTGTGGTTTAACTGTTTGGACCTCTCGGGATCGTCATCAGGCGGTTCCGAGGCCACTTGGATCAGCCTTGGGGCAGTGTTGCGGTTTCTCTGGGCACATGGTGGAAGCTATATGGAACCATAGTTTGTTATATTGTTTTATGTCGGAGGCCATAGTTGGTTATTTGGCGTTACACGCCAGTCGTTGAAGTATAGATGTTTGGACTCAGAGATCCCAATCTACGTCAAGTGCCTTCCTGCTTCAAGAGGCGATCCGTGTTTGCTGTCTTTTGTAATTCCTTGGGCGGGCCCGAACCCAATCTACTTTATCCGCCTACTTCATGCTTCCACCTACTTCTTTCGACCTACGGGCATCTTGGAGCCATACTGGGCGTTCCAACCGCTTGTAAGGGGGATGCCGAGAGACCTAAGGGAGGGGGTCGAGGGAGGCGACCACCCTCCCAAGGGGAAGCCGGGGGGAAGAAGGGGGTTGGAAGCACGATCTTCTTAAACCACCTACGCCCAGAGGGCTGCTGGGGCGTGAGCTGCACATCGTTGTCAACCCTGTTGTTGCGGCCGTCCGTAGCCGTTTAGGCTCGAGAAGTTATGAATGGTAGGCCCACGGCCTCCGTACGTCTGGAGTCGTGTTTCCCAGTTGCTTTGGTACACTGGTGATTCTTCCACACTGTAAAAAATCACTCGCATATGGGGCCTGCTAATTCATGCAAGTCGTGCTGTGGAGGTAGACCATTAACAGTTGTTGAAGTCAAAGGAGCTCCCCTCGACAGGCGTACGCCAGACGACGTGCAGCAAGAGTCGGCTGAGATATGCCAGCCGATCGACACATGTCTTGAGGGTGGGCGTGAACCGCCCGCGGGCTTGGCTGTGCCAGTCAACCACGTGGTTCAAATCGAGGGCGGTGTGATTGCGCAGCCGTTAGGATCTCAGGATTGTTGTTGGCCCGTTGTCGCCGTGCGCTGCCGTTGGCAAGGCTACGGAGGAACTCTTTTCGCTGACTCTGAGACGAAGCCCAGGGTGGTGTGTTATGTTGGACGTGGCATTCAGTTCGGCCGGATCAGTCAATGTATGAGTCAGTGTCGTGACGCAGACGGGTCCAGCGTTGAGGCCGCAATGTCAGTGTGTGTTGCTGCCGTCGGAAAAGCGATCAGCAGCGGCCTTCTGTGCCGACGAGGGATCCCAGTCTGGTATCTTGAAAGGTGTCTGATTGCCCCACTTCGAAAAAGACTTCTGGGAGAATGTGGGAGGCCTGTCCGCTTCATGGAGAGTCCAAACCGAATGGGCATGTTTATACGCCAGCCTGGTGAAACGTTAGGGGCAGCACCCATCTTGCCATCGGATTGTGTGCTAAGGCGTTTGAGTGACCGTGATGTTGCACACGTGAACGAGGAGTCCAGCCCAGGGCCCAATCAGATGGAACGAGGTGGCATTGGCTGTTGGGGTGTTGAGATACGTGGGACGCTGCAGGGATGGGCGGTGCGGGGCGCAGATGGTGCGATTGGCATGCTTCACGTGAGTAAGGAGTGGCGCCGACGTAAGCTGGCTACCGCTATAATTCATCAGATCAGTGAAGAGCTGCATGCGCTGGGATTGCCGTGCTTTTCTTATGTTCGGGACGATAATGCACCTTCCAAGATGACATTCATTCGTGTTGGATACAAACGAGTCGCAGACGTAAAGTGGTGTCATATGCGTTTAATGTAGGGAGGAGGGCAGGAGGTGCCTCCTCATTCTAAAGAGTTGCTGGTCTGACCGAGTCATCGTTACCTATCGATGGCAGTTTGTACCATGCGAAGTCCGAAGGACAAATGTTGGAAACCACCAAACAAACCATTGGCGCCACTGGCGGTATCACTCTCGCGGCCGTGGTTTGCGCGAAAGCTTGTCAACTCGGGCCCTGTGCTCCTCCGCATCCGCTACTCCCTCGACCGGGAAGCTCTCGGCTCCATCGCGCGATGCATTTCGGTCCGAGAGGCGCGCCAGGTGCATGGGGCAGTCCTCCGTCTCTCCACCTCCATCTCTGTTTCTCCTTCGCTTCGTCCTCGTCCACCCTCCCCCATCCCGCCCTCATTCCCACCTTGTCCAGATTCTCTCCGCTCTCTCCTACGGTAGGCTCGTGCGGTGTTGACGCGCCGGCGACGCCGGCGAAGGCGTTCAGGGTTGATTTCTGCGACGCGGAAGCACCGATGGACACGGTTACGCCAGTGGACCCGATTGAATGCATTTTTGAACTATCGGGGCCGCGATCAATTCGAGGTTGAAAGATCGACGCGGTGTCAGGAGCCTTTGCGCGCACCGACGCCACACGAACCTACCGTACCGTTTCTTTCCTCCATACACCACCCTCCATCCATCCTCCTCGTCCTCCCCCGTGAGATCTCTGGAGGTCCTTGGGGCTCTTTGAGGCCTCTGGAGGTCCCCAGAGGTCTCCAGAGGCCCCTGGGGGCCACCAGAGGGGGGAGGAGAAGAAAAAGGAGGAGGAGGAGGAGGAGGAGAGCCCAAGATGCAGCATCAATGCGGCAATGCTCCTCCCGTCCCAAGTCTCCTCATGAGCTCCTACGCTTCTCTTCACCACGAGAAGCGCCCCCTTGGAAGACCAGCCCCCGTGGGCCTGTCCTTCGGGCGAGGGCCCCGTTCTGAGAGGCATCCGTCGTGCAGCCTTCTCGCGCGCACGGAGGGAACGCGAGGGGGTATGATAATACAGTGGGGGCGCTGAAGAAGGAAGCCTGTTCATTGGGGAGGGGCTCCGTGTTCCTTAATTGTTTCGCAGCTTGCTTTAGGCTTTCGATCTGAAATCGAAGTTTAACTTCTGGGAGATAGGGGCCTCGTTCCTTACTTAGGGTTCCTTAGGTCAACGCCCCGACTGTACGGTTGAGTGAGGTGTCCAGCGAGATTCCCGTTCTGATTAGGGCCGTTCTCAGCCGTGCAAGTGTTGCACAAGTAAGTCTACACCTCTGGCCATGGACTTCGAGGAAGTTTCCAGCGAGAGCCTCGCTTTGAAAAGGAACCGCCATCCGTCCGTGCAGCTGCTACGACTGGTGAAGCTGATGGCCCTCAAACGTGAGGAGATCTATCCTTGGAGTCGTTGCAAGCACTTCAGACGAGAGTGCGCGGCGCTACGGCGAGAGCTAGATTTTAAAAACATCACACTCTTCATCCCTGAAGTTGTTGCAAACGTATGTGGCGAATGTGCGCGGCTCTGAAGTGAGAGCCCCATGTTGGAAACGACCCGCATTCCATCTCAAGCATCAGGACCAAAAACGGTGAGGCACTGACAGTCGAAGCGCCCGGGCACGCCTGGGGGGGGGGGGGGGGGGGCGGGACAGGGAGGAGCTCTCTGCATAAGAGAACAGGGGGTGGAGAGAGAGAAGGGGGAGGAGGAAAAGCAGGAGGAAGACGACGCAAGGAGGAAGGGGGGGGGGGCGGAGGGGGGGGAGCCCCTCCCACCTCGCACCCGGCCTCCGCGCTGCGCCCGAGGCACTACGGCTACAGGGGCTTCTGCTACTGGCGGCTCGGCCGGGACGACGAGGCCCTGAGGGACTACGACGCGGCCATACGCCTCGAGGTGCGGCGCCCCAGCGGGCCTCAGGGACTTCTGGGGGGGGGGAGGGGAGGGAGGGAGGGAGGGGGAGGGAGGGGAGGGGAGGGGATTAGGGGGAGAGGGGGAGGGAGGGAGGAGGGGGGGGGAGGGGAGGGAGGGGAGGGGAGGGGATTAGGGGGGGAGGGAGGCGGGGGGGGAGGGGAGGGACGGGGGGGGGAGGCACGGGGAGTTCGTTTTCCAGCGCCGAGCTTTCAAGCCCCGTGGCCTGAGCCACCGCGCGGTACGGATGGAAGAACAGCATTGAAACATATCTCGCGATCGGTGTTGAATCGGCCTCACTGGGGCCAGGATACACTTTGCAACGAAACGTCCGGTGAAGAAACCGTATCGGCATGCCCCGGAGACAGAACCTGGAGACAGCCAACAGGAGGGCCTGTAGAGTCCATGGTGCGAACGTTTCGGAGAAGGGCGGCGGCTCCTACGACTGTTCAATATGTACACCATTGACGCTGCACTCCATGCAGCAGCAAGCATTCAAACTAAACGTATGCAAGTGGCAGGCTCTTCACAAGAGCGATTTGGGGCAAGCTCTACACTGCCCGGCGCCTGGGCGGGAAGTGGGCGCCCCGGCGGCGGAGGCGGCCAGCTTGCCCACGGCAGCGAGCGTCTCGGCATCAGGCGGCACGTCGTCGTCGACGTCATCGCAGGCGTCAGCGCCATCTTTGGTATCGCTCGGACGTGTGCTCTTTTTCCCGGCGGGGATTATTAAGGAGCATCCTGGATCATCCCGCGAAAAAACCACGCACGAAACCGAAAAAGACAAAGGGAATGGACGTCCAGGCGATGGCCAGTCATCGGACTGCATGCAGTCGTCGGAGAACTCCTGCTCCTCGACAGGATCGAGCGGCGGCGGGCCGGGGATGGCGGTCAGCCGCCGCAGCTGCGGCAATTTTTGGCGGCGGCGCCTGCGACGGCGGCGGTGGCGCAAGTGGCGCCTTCTTCCATGGCGGACCCGACGCGGACTTCGCAGGCGTCGTTGGCCCCGGCGCCTTACTGTACGGCACGGACTCGACGGTCGCGCTCGCTGACCAGCCAGGCGGCGCCATCGGCGGCCTCGGCGGCGGCGGCTTCTCTCCTTCACAGTGCACACGGGTGGCATCTTCACCTGCGGGATGTTCCGCCATAGGCTGCGGGGGGCGGGATGTTCCAACAGGGGCACCTGCGGGGGCGGGAGGTTCCTTGTTTTACGTGGTGGAGATTGCCGCCTGCACCTCCATGATCTCCATGGTCTCCATAGTGGCTGTCTGCCTCATGATCACTATGATGGCTGCCTGCCCCATGATCACCATTGCGGCTGTCGGCTCCATGACCTCCGCGAAGTCCATGATGGTCGCCTGCATCTCCATGAGATGCGTGATGGTTGCCATGATCTGCATGCTGGTGTCCAAGATAGATGCTTGCACATTCATGACCTCCCTGGTTGTCGCTTGCTCCATGGTCTTCATGATGGTGTCCATGGTGGATGCCTGCACCTCCATGATCCCATCTGCGGGGGCTCCATGTTGTCCATGATGATGACCGCTTGCTCCATGATCTCCATGATGGCCGCCTGCTGGGGCGCCATGATGTCCATGATGATGCCCTCCTGCAGCTGCATGATCTCCCGCCTGCTGCATGATTTCCATGATGGTGTTCATCATGGCCGCCTGCACCTCCATGATATCCATGGTTGCCAGTTGCACCTCGGTGGTCTCCGTGGTGGCGATCTCTATGATGAGGATGGCCGCATCATTCGTGATCTCCATGCGGATCTCCATGATGTCGATCTCCATGATGAGGATGGCCGCCTGCTCCGCCTGCTCCACGATGGCGATCTCCATGACAGCGATCCCCATGATGGGATCTCCATGATGGTTCCCATGATCTCCATAAAGCTGGCCGCTTGCACCTCGATGAACTCCATGATGATCTCCATTATGGGCTGCAAAGCGACCACCGCCAGGAAATTAGATTGGCACCGTCACCACGAGCTCGCGCGGGTCCGCGAGGTAGTGCGCTCGAACTTGGCACACTGGATCCATCACGCGCGGAGCGCAGCAGGTAGCAGCTCTGGGAAACACGGAGAGATATGTTCAAACAAGCGGAGAGCGCAGAAGCTCCCGATTGAGCACACATTGCTCTACAGGCCAATGTTGTCGGTGATGTTGATGGCAACGCTGGCGTCGGCCACATAGACCCCTTGGCTCGTCAAGGGGCGGGGGCGGGAAGGGCGGTTGCTGGCTGACGTTGACCTTCCACGCACGAGCGAGCTCAGCACGTGGAATGACCACACAGCAGGCAGCTATCCTCGCGGGGCATGGCAGACCAGCATTGCAGACCTCCGCAGCCATTTTGGCTCAAGGCCTTGGGGGGGTCGTGTCTCCGCTTCTCCCCACTTGAGATGGGTCGGGGGACGGCCGACGGCGGCGGCCCGTGGCGCTCGTCGGAGGAGCGAAGGCTGGCGCTGGCGCCGCGCTCGTGATGCCTGCGAGCGCGGGCTGTGACGATCCCTGCACGGCCGCGCCGGCGGACCCTGCAACGGCGAGGCCCTCGCCAGCCTGGCGGAGGAGGTCGCCAGGCGCGAGCGGCTCTCGCGGGCCGATCTGGCCGCGAAGACCTTGGGCGAGCGCCCGCAGCCATGCGAGAAGCTCGTCAGGAACTGCGCGCAGCATGCCAGCCGCCTGCCCGAGAACGGCTCGCCGCGGGCGCACTGGCGGGACGCGGAGCGCGGGCCGCGCTCGGGAGCCGCAGCCGCCCCGCTGGGGCCTGGGAGCAGGCAGGGCCCAGGCCCTGGGCTCCGGCGCCCGCGGCGCCGCAGGTCGATGGCGCAGCCCGCGGAGCCGCAGGCGCGGCCGCCCGTTCGCGTCGGCGTCGAGAGCTTGCCGGGGCCGAGCGACGTGCACGTCGCAGAGCTTGAGGCCAGCTCGAAGTTGGACCCCACCGCGGCTGCCCCTGGCGCCCTGGGGGGGGGGGGGGGGGCAATGCCTCCCCTCAGGAAAGCGGTGAAGTATACGCCAGGAGGCTGTCCCTCCATCTCTCCCTCCCGTTGGCCTGCCCTTCCTGCTGCAGGGTGTGCGTCACCAGGGCGCCGCAGGCCAGGGGGGCTGTTCGGGCACGGGCCCTCAGAAGCCCCCCAGTCGAAGTTAGACCCCACCGCGGCTGCTCCAGCACCCATGGGGACAATGACTCCCCTCACGAAAAGGGCGAAGTACAGGCCAAGAGGCGGTCCCTCCATCCATCCATCTCGTCGGCATGCCCCTCTTGCTATTCGGGTGCGGTGGCTGCCCAAAGCGTTCAGAGGGCCCTTCCTGCTGCAGGGTGCGTGTCACCAGGGCGCCGCAGGCCAGGGGCTGTTCGGGCACGGGCCTTCAAAAGCGCCCCGATCGAACTTAGACCCCACCGCGGCTGCCCCACCACACATGGGGACAGTGCCTCCCCTTGGGACCTGGGTGAACTGCAGGCCAAGAGGCAGCCTCTCCCTCCATCCCATTGGCCTGCCTCTCTTGCTGTCGGGCTGCGCCGCCAGGGCGCCACAGGCCAGGCGGTCTGTTCGGGCACGGGTCCGAAGAAGCCCCGCGATCGAACCCACGGGGCCCCCTTCAGGACAAGATTTGGCCCAAATTTCGTCCTTGAGAGCCCCCCCCCAGGGCCAGATGCCGAGGCGGCGTCCCAGGGGGACCCCACTGTCCCCGCCCTGCCAGGGGCTTGCGCGGGCCCCAGCCCACTGAGAACTCGCCGGGGCCCGCGCCACAGGAAGCGCGGGAGCCACCAGGGGGTGAGAGGCGTCGGGTTCAGCCCTCCCCAGACCAGGCCGCCCGCAGGAGCGAGAAGGCAGGGCGGCTGTTCGTGCACGCAGGAGCGCCCATCTCCCCACGGTTTTCATGGCAGGGCCGAAACCTCATATTGGGGCATCAGGGTCGTCATCTTCCCCGTGGACTCGCTTCACAACTGCAGGTGGCACCACTAATGGACTAACTCCACCGCGGCCACTGGCATTTGGTTTCGGCCATCCTGGTTACTTTAAGGGTGTGGCCCGTTGTCGACCAACTGTTGGTTTCTGGGGTGGCGGGCTCTCCCTTAAGCTGTCCAACAGTCTCCAGTATTTCGCAGATGACCGCTTCATCTCTCAAGATGGTTTAGGCACCCTTTGAGCCTATAGCGAGCTGGGTAACCCTCCTCATCCTCCTCCTCCGCCGCCGCCGCCTCATCCCCCATTCCTCCATCCTCCCCCCTATCCCCCCTCCCTCCTCCCTGCGCCTCCGCCTCTGCCTCTGCCTCCTCCTTATCCCCCTTTCCTGCCCCCTCCCCCTGCCGTCCTTGCCCTCCTGCCCTCCTCCGCCCGATGACCCCTGGCCCTCGCAGGGCGCAGGGCACGCCTTCTGCCCAGGCCCGGCGCGGCCGGGGGGGGCGGAGGGTGCCGTCGGCGGGCGGGCGAGGCCCAGCAAGAGGGGGAGGGTCTCCGCGCGCACAGGCGGGGCCCCCAAGGGCGAGACGCTCGCTGTGGCCTTCCTTGGCAGCGCGCTGTGTCCTCCCCTCCTCCGCCCGAGCTCAGCGGAGGAAAAGGTAACCATACCGCTCCGCCTCCCTCGCTTTCCCCCTTCTGGGCCTCCTGAGAGGCCCTCGTCGCCACCGCTGGATTCGCTTCGAAATCATTGTCAGAACCCACCCGAGAGGTCCAGGGAGTAGCGGTATTGGTACCTTTCGATGTCCCCATTCCCCATCCTCCGCCCGAGCGTCCCGGGATGGCGCGGGGGAAGGGGGAGAGGGAGAAGTACCATGCCAGGCACTCGCTGTGACATCTCGGCGACGCGTTGGTCCTCCCTCCCCTCCGCCCGAGCACTCTTCCCCATCCTCATCCTCGTCATCATCCGCTGGTCATCATCACCATGTGTTGCACCACCATGCGTCATCATTGTCATCGTCCTTATCTCACCGCTCTGCTGATCATCCTCGTCCTCCTCCTCCTCCTCCTCCTCCCTCCTCCTCTTCCTCCTCCTCCTCCTCCTCCTCCTCCTCCTCCTCCATCTCCTGTCATCCTCCTCATCATCCTCGTGTCATCATCATCCTCCTCCAGGTCCTAATGGTCCTCCTGTCCTCCCTCCTGCTCCTCCTCATCATCCTCATCCTCCTCCTCCTCCTCATCATCATCAGCAGCATCATCACTATCATCAGCAGCATCATCATCCTTCCTGGCCCCTGGAGTTCCGCGCGGCGTGGGGAGGACGATCGATCGGCCGCTCGGCGCGCGGCCCGCGACGATGAGGTCATCATTGAAGGAAGAGCGAAGAGGAGGAGGAGGAGGAGGAGGAGGAGGAGGAGGAGGAGGAGGAGGAGGAGGAGGAAGAGGGGGAGGAGGAGGGAGGAGGAGGAGGAGGGAGGAGGAGGAGGGGGGAGAGGAGGAGGAGGAGGAGAGGAGGAGGAGGAGGAAGGAGGAGAGAGGAGGAGGAGGAGGGGAGAGGAGGAGGAGGGAGGAGGAGGAGGAGGAGGGAGAGGAGGAGCAGGAGGAGGAGGAGGAGGAGGAGGAGGAGGAGGAGGAGGAGGAGGAGGAGGAGGGAGGAGGAGGAGGAGGAGGAGGAGGAGGAGGAGGAGGAGGAGGAGCAGAAGGGGGAGTTAGGATTTGGGTGCTTTCCTGTTGCTGAATCTCCCGGCGGGGCTCTCGTCGCAAGGGCCAGAGTCGCCTCGAAGCTGTGGCCAGTGCGCGCCCAGGACAGGTCCGGGCCGACTCTGAGGAGACCGACGCCCGACGCCCCCGACTTCCGAGCAGGGCAGGCGCAGGAGGGAAGGTTCGACGAGCTTACGGCGCTGCTGCCCAGAGATGGTGGGAGCCCAGGGCCTCGGGCCAGGGCCATGTCGCCAGCGCCGCGGCGACCGCGCCGACGGCCTCGCCGCCGCGCCCAGAGATGGCGGGAGCCCAGGGCCTCGGGCCAGGGCCATGTCGCCAGCGCCGCGGCGACCGCGCCGACGGCCTCGCCGCCGCGGCCTCGCCGCGCCCCAGCTGCGCAGCGGGCGGCGCCGTGAGCCGTCGGCGCGGGGGCCGTCGGCCCAGCTGGGCGGCGCGGGCGGCCCGCGGCGGCGAGGCCGTCGGCTCGCTCGCCGCGGCGCCGGCGGCCTCGGCGGCGAAGCCCGGGCCAGCTGGGGGCCTCGGTCGCGAACCCCAGCCAGCGACAGAGCAGCTCCCGAGCCCGGACCAGCCCCAGACCCCCTCGGGTCATGGAAAAATCACGACGGGAGTTTTTCCGTTAGTTTCGGCCTCTGGAGGCCCTCGCCGGGCCTCGGGACCGTCAAAGAAAGACTCAGGATGCTTTAGTTTCGGCCTCTGCAGGCCTTCGCCGAGCCTCGGGACCGTCAAAAAAAAACCCAGGATGAAGAGCCGGTCCCGGGGAATGGGTCGGGACCTCTGGGGTCGCGTCATGAAAAAATCATGACCTCGGGGGTCTGGGGCGGGGCTTCGGTGAGCTTGCGGTTGCTCCCAGGGTTTCGGGGACGCGCTGACATCGCGGGCCCCGGCCGGACACAAAGCAGCTCCCCAGCCGGGGCCAGCGGGGCGAGGCGGGGTCGACTCCACACGGCTGCCAAGCCCGCGTCGGCCAGAGGAGATGGGAGGGGGGACTGGCCGACCCCCGTCAGCGCTGATCCCCGTGACGTGCGCCCCGAGGATTTTCGGCCTGCCCGGCCCGCGGCCCGGACCCGGCCGATCGTCCCCTCGGAAAGCCACGGCGCTCCGAGGCGAAGGGCGAGAAGGCGAGCAACGGGGGAAGCGCCCGGCGGCTGCAGCCACGGCGGCGGCGGCGGCCACGGCGGCGGCCACGGCGGCGGCCACGGCGGCGGCGTCAGCGGCGAGCACTTCGGCGGGCACGGTAGCGCTTGGTCGATCCAGCTCGGCAGAGGAAGCTCGGAGGCGGGGTCGAGCGTGCCACGAGACCTGCTGCGTTGTTTCACGGCGCCGACTCTCGGGGAAGCCAGGGGCATGTGGCCCCTTCTCCTCCACCGCCTCACCCATTGCCTCAATCTCCTCCTGATTGTCCCTCTGCGCCTCCTCCTCCTCCTCATCCTCCTCCTCTTTATCCTTTTCGTCCTCCTCCTCCTCCTCCTCCTCCTCCTCCTCCCCTCCTCCTCCTCCTCCTCCTCCTCCTCATCCTCTTTATCATCATCCTTTTCGTCCGCCTCCTCCTCCTCCTCCTCCTCCTCCTCCTCCCCGTCCTCCTTTTCCTCCTCCGCCCCCATCCTCCTCCCCCTCCTATACATCTTCCTCCTTCTGCCAATCGTCGTTGCGCTGCGGCTTCTCAGCTGTAGCTGTGGGACCATCTGGCGAGGCGCGCGTCGCCGCCTGCGGTGCGCAGCCTGTGCTCATCAGTGCGCGCCTGGTGCTGAAAGTCTGGCTTTCCTTGTCTTCCTCGCGCATACCTTACCGGAGTCAAGCAGCAAATATGTCTACTGCAGCGACTGCCAGCGGTTGATGGATCCGTGGCACGCCACATCTTCTCACGCTGTGTTTGGTTGGAGCCCCCATTCGGGCATGTGAGCTCATATGTATGCCAAGGCTGCAGGCACTGATTACGATAGCATCCATGCACAAAAAAAACAAGGTTCACCGTGTCCTCCCCAGCCCAGGCCTCTTGGCTGACAATTGGGAATGATCATGCCGACAGGTTTGCTAAATTTGGTGCTCGTCGTCATCCTGCCGATGGAGTTGCGACGGGGCGTCTGAGTAGGTCGCGACGCCCTGCCTCGGTCCCCCTCCCTCTGGCGGTTGCACCCTCGTGCAGCCGTTGTGACGCCGCCCGCTGGGGTCCCACTGCGTGGGATCACTCTGCGCAGCGCCTTCGGAGTCTTGCATGCTGGGCCTCCAGCCAGTGCAAGCTCGAGCTGTGTAAGGCTCCGTGCACGGCCTCTCATAGATTCGGCCATCTGGTTTTGCGCACTTCGTTGGCAGGCTTGTGTCATGAAAGCTACGTGGTTTCTAGATTCGTCCACACACGGCGGTAAGTTGTACAATCTGAGTCGCAGGCGCCCAGAGTCCACCACTGCCAAATTCAGGCTTGGCAGTTTGATGCAGGGATTGGATCCCAGGATGAGCCACTCCACCGTTCCTATCCTGCCAGTGCTGACGCGACTGTATGACGAAGCGGGGGACCCAACAGTTGCTTCTCGTAGTCTTGCGTGGCTCCCCCATCTCGTCTCCTGATGGCGATGTGCCAGGGGCAGCCGAGACGACCTTGTCTTGGGGCTCACGGTTTTTTCGCCACCACACGGAGGGGAGGGCAACGAGGGCAACATTAGCGCATTTGGGTGGCAGCATTAATGACTAACTTTCGTGGGACAAGTTGCGTTTGGGATTCTCGTAGAGCGGCGATGGTGTAGAGTGCCACGACGCTCTTTGTAGATTCGATTATCAAGTACACAATTGTGCGGCGTTTTATCTGTGGAAAGCGTTGTCGTGAAGCATGCCGATCCTTCCGTGTGTCAGCGATCGGTCGCCAATGATGTACAGAGGTTCAGCCAGACATGTCCTCCTGAGCTCCAGCCCGCTTTAGTCTTTGGTGGCCTGCTCGAGGCCTTATAAGGCATGGAGTGTTGTAATCATGACGTGCGTTTGTATAGCCTTCGTCGGGCAGACTTGTGCCGCGAAGCTCGGCCCCGAAATGCGCTGTTGTCACATCAAGGCTGCATGTTGTGTGATTTCGCTTGCACCCTCCCTCTTCCCTCCCTCCCTCCCTCCCTCCCTCCCACATTGTTATGTACGGAGAGGGCCTCGCGCGAGCGATGCAATGGCCCGCGCAATCCCTATGTATCGCACGATGTTGCCCGATGGCCGTCCAGCTCAGGACGCTCGGCTCGTGCCAGTGAGTCGCGGCATGAACAATTCAGCAGCAGATTCGTGTAATGTGCAGTTGTTGTCTGATATGCCCCTCTCTTGGGACAGTCACTTTCTTGCACTGGAGCGTCGGCTGCTTCCATGTTGTTGCGTACCTGATTGGCTATGCGGCCCATGCATCTTCCCGAATACGGGGCCTGTCTGGGGTGTGCGGCTCGCGATAAGCGCGGCTGGCCCCTCTTCTTGTCCGCGTTTCTCTCTTCGAGTTGCTTCGTTGGAGGCAGGCCATCGTCCTAGTCTTGGTCGTGTTCATAGTTTCCCTTCCTCATCCCCGTCCTCCTCTCCCTTGTCTTGGAATGTTCCAGAAACGGCGCGGGCCTAGGGCTTCTTTTTTACAAGGGGGCTGTGTGACGGGAAGCGCGCTGAGATTCGAAGCAGTCGCGCGATGCACATCGCATTCCGACTCGGAGGGATACCATACATGATTGGAGCGGTCCAGAAGGAGCATGGGATGGGAGCGAGAGAGGAGAAGGGAGGAGGGAGGCGGCGGCGGCGGCGGACGATGGCAGTGTCGCGAAGACGTGCTCAACTCTAGTAAACTCTTATGTGGGAAAAAACCTCAGGGCATGCACCAAGGGCGAGGGCTGCCCAGGGTAACACACAGAGTGCTCAGAAACGAAAAGCGAGCTGACCAGACCCTGGGGCGACGCGCCCGTGGCGCCGTTCACGAGCTGCGGCACGGTTGGCAATTGCCAACCGGTCAGCTGTGAGGACGGGGGGCCAGGGGCGAGGGAGGGGGAGGGGACGAGGGAGGCGAGGCGAGGAAGAAAGAAGGGGGATCCCCGTCCTCAGGGTCACAAGACTGACCTCCGGCCTCGTGGGGCAGGGAGTCGGGCCTGGCGCCTGCGGCGGCGTCTGGCACTGGCGCCGCGCCCTGCGGCGGTGGGAGGTCAGGTTCCTCGGCGGGGGAGGGGGAGGAGCCAGCAGGAGGCGAGGGCGAGGGAGGAAACCAACGGCCAACCTCTGGGTCACCGCGTTGCCTCGGAATCGTCGTCCGAGCGAGGTCGGGCGCCTCCCAGAATACTTCTGACATCTTCACTTGAAACTCTGAGAGCTCCGTGCAATCTCTTCCCCCCCTCCTCAGGGGCCACATCTGAGGTAGGGGGAGGAGGCAAGTCGTCTTCTGGGTCGGAGGGCCAGTCGCTTCGTACTGCATCGTGCATTTCCTGATCGATTGCAGCACACACTCTGTCGGAGTAGGTCTTCCTGTAGCTGGTTCTGAAGGTTTTGCTATCTTGCCGTCTGCCCAATAGCGTGCAGTGTGCCCCCCTGTCATGACAAGATCTCGCCCCATGAACTGCAGTAAGATACTGGTGCTTCGCGGAAGCCGAAAGGCGAGGATCCTAGCCCCCCCCTGGGAGTGGCCGGCTGTCCCAGACAGCCGGCCAACCCCCAGGGGGGCCGCCCTCGTTGAGCGGCGGTGGAGGCGTTTGCTGCCTCCCATTCAACGAGCTCCAGCCGCGGGAGAGACCCGCGCGCGCAGGAGGAGGAGGAGGAGGGGGAGGAGGAGGAGGAGAAAGAGGAGGAGGAGGAGGAGAAAGAGGAGGAGGAGGAGGAGGAGGAAGAGGAGGAGGCGGCGGAGGCGAAGAGGGAGGGAGAAGGCGGGAGAAGGCGAGGCCCCCCCCATCCCCGAGAGGCCGCCAGGGGGGGCCTCCCGCCGTTTCCTTTCCCCTTTATGGACTCTGACGGAACGTCCTGCAGGGTGCACTGGTCGAAGGCGATGGCGCCGACAACTGGGCAGCACTCGAGAGACCTAATGGGGAACCACGTAAAATTGGATACTGCTGGTGCTTTTCCAAACTGCTGGCAGGGGATGCTCCAGCCATGCCCTCGTGCCTGCCCGTGCGTGATCTGCCATGAGGAGGGCCAGGGAGTGGAGGAGCTTACTTCCTATCTCCAGCTGTAGAGTTTGTGTATCCGTACTCCACGGCAACCCCCAGTTATGGGTGTGGGTCCTCAGTGGGGGAGGGGGGCCTCCTCCCAGCGTGCAGCGCTCCAAGTCTCACATGCCCCCCCCGAGACCCAGACTTGCCGTGCTCTGATATGCGCGGCCCACATCTCGAATGTGTCGTTGCGCGTGATGTCATACCGTGTCGAGTCGATGGCAATGTCAATAGAGAGCACCGTGCATGTGATGTGCCCATGTGCATGTTCTCTACGTGGTACTGCATGTCACCTGAGCGTCGTCTCCCACAATCCATATTCAGTATTTACACATGTGTATGATATAATTATCCGATCGTTGTGTTATCCTTGGCGTGTGCTGTGTAGCAGGCTTTTTAAAATCCTGCTTTCGGGAGAACTAATATCTCTCCTGTGCTGTGTCGGTAGCCTTCGGAATCTGTGTGGTTTGGCCGGTCGGTCCAAATACCTGTCATAATGTGGAGTGCCTCTGGCGTAAGTTCGTGGTTGAATTCCCGAAGCACGTCCTTGGCATCTTTCTCTTCCAAATTTGAGAACAAACATGCCGATTCCCACAGCATACCGTCGGCACACTGTGCCGGAATAGCTAGGTGCGCCGCCATCGTCCTAGGCTTGCCTTTCGTTGGTCTTGGCCTTGCTGACGATCCTTAACTGCTGCATCCGCAGCGGCTGAGGCTGACAGCTGCGTACCGTGCATGAAGTGCGAGAGGCAGCATCGCAAGGAATCGCAAGCTAGATGACCCCGAAGATGTCGCCTAGATGCAAATTCTGTAGCACATGCTCTGCACACTGCTGTAGCACCCATCACATACCCCACCTGTGATACCATGGTGTAGTGTGTACGTATGTCGTGTTGTTTGAGCGCTCTAGATTTCGGAAAGACCGTCGAGCATCCTGGACATGTGTGTATGATGGGCGCCTCCCTTTCTCCAGCTCTGAGAGG